TGCAAGAAAATCATAAGAGAGTCATCAGCTTGGTAAAGGAGGCACAAAAATCCAATGAAGAGAAGAACATCTTTAAAAGCAGAATTGGCCAAATGGAAACACATGTAAAAAAATCACTTTAAAAGGTGTTGTTGTTGTTGTTTTAAAATAAGAACTAGACAAGGGGAAACTAATTACTCCATGAGGTATCAAGAAGCAAGAAAACAAAATCAAAAGAATGAAAAAACAGAAGTGTGGAAAAACAACTGACCTGGAAAATGGATCCAGGAAAGATAATTTAAGAAATATTGATCTACCTGAAAGCCATGATGGAAAAAAAGAGCCTAGACATCATCTTTCAAGAAATTATCATGGAAAACTGCCTTGAGAAGGTAAAATAGAAGTTGGAAGAATCCAACCATCACCTCCTGAAAGAGACCCCAAAATTAAAACTCCCAGGAGTTAGCCAAATTCCAGAGCTCCCAAGTCAAGGAGAAAGTATTGCAAGTGCCAGAAAGAAACAATTCAAATATCATGGATCCACAATCAGATAACACCAGATTTAGCAATTTCTACATTAAAGGACTGGAAGGCTTAGAGTATGATATTCCATATGCCTAAAGAACTAGGATTACAATCAACAATCACCTACCCAGCAAAACTGAATATAATCCTCCAGGGGAAAATATAAGCATTCAATGAAATTAGAGGAATTTCAAGCATTCCTGATGAAAAACCAGAGCTGAATAGAAAATCTGACTTTCAAATACAAGACTCAAAGAGAAGCACAAAAAAGTATAAACAGGAAAAGAGAAATCATAAGAAGTTCAATAAGATTAAACTGTTTAAATTACTCCATGGGAAAATAATACTTTCAACTCTTAAAAACTTTCTCATTATTAGGGCAGTTAGGAGTATACATCGACAGAAGGCATGGGTGTGAGTTGAACATGATGAGATGATTATCTAAAAAAATAAAATTAATGGGTGAGAAACAAGAATGCGCTGGGAGAAGAGAAAAGGGAGAGGTAGAATGGGGTAAATATCTGACATAAAAGAGGCTCAAAAGGGCCTTTACAATAGAGGGGAAGATGGGGGGGGCACGTGGCACAAGTGTGAGCTTTACTCTCATTAGAATTGGCTTAAAGAGGGAACAACATACACACTCAGTTGGGTAAAAGTATAAGAAGGGCATGGAAGTTGCGAGTGAGGGGTATGACAGAAAGGAGGGCAGATTGGGAGAGGTAAAAGTCAGAAACAAAACATTTTTGAGAATGGAGAGGGAGAAAGGACAGAGAGAAGAGAATAAATGGGAACCCTCCTGGTGAGGGGGGGGGACAGGACATACGAGGGTAGTGAAACCCTTGCAACAAACACATAGTCAAGCAAAACAAATTCCAGCATGGGCCAAATCCAAAAAGTCTATTTTTCATTCTGCATGCTAAGTCCATCATCTCTCTGGTGGGTAGCATACTTCATAACAGGATCTCTCAAACTGTGGTTGCCCACTGCACTGATCAGAATTCTTATATGATTTTCAAAGTTGTTTGTCTTTATAATGCTGTTGTTATTGTATAGGTTGTTCTCCTGGTTCTTATTTTACTCTATCAGTTCATACAAGTCTTCCCAGTTTTTTCTGAGACCAAGCCTTTATCAATTCTTACAGCACACTAGTATTCATTTACATTCAACTACCATCATTTATTCAGCCACTCCCCAACTGAAGGGTACTCCCTTATTTTCCAATTCTTTGCCATCACAAAACAGCTGTAACGTTACTATTCTTTTAAACCATAAAGGTCCTTTTCCTCCTTCTTTCACCTCTTTGGGTTTTCAAAGAGTGTGCACAGTTTACTAATTTTTAGCTTTCTAGACTGGCTGTATCATTTCACAGCTCTACAAATAGTGCATGATTATGCTTATTTTTCCACAACTCCTCCAACGTTTGTTATTTTCCTTGTCAACTCTGCCAATCTGATGAATATGAAGAGGAACCTCAGAGTTGCTTTAATTTGCATTTCTTTAATGATCAGTGATTTGGAATTTTTTTCAACTAATATTTCATATTTCTTCCCTTGAGATATATTTTGGAAATAAAACCAAAATCAGATAAACCTGCTGCAATGATTCTCCTCCCTCCACTCCCCCGGGTTACCTGTTTCCCTTTCTGCACTGATTGTGTGTGCATATGTGTGTGTGCGCGCGCGTGCGTACACGCTTTTTAAAAAAAAATTTACATAATAAAAATTGTTCATTTTATCTTCTGTGATGCTCATTATGCCTTGTTTGGTCATGAACATGTCCTCTATCCACAGACCTAAAAGACAATTTTTTTTACTTGTTACTCTAATATAGTTATTAGATCACTCTATATGTCCAAGTCATCTATCTATTTGGGTAATGTTGGTATATAATGTGAAATGTTGGGTCTCTATCTAGTTTTTGGACCTGGCAGATTTTACTAAAAACACGAGGCAATATTGGAATACAATATTCCAAAAGGAAAAAGACATAGGCTTACGATCAAGAAGAACTTATCCTGCAAAGCTGAGCACAGTCCTATAGTCCTAAAACACCTTTTATAGAACAGAGGAGAAACCCAAAAAGATAAATTTATCTGAGCAATTAGAAGGAGCTTTGTAACGGTGTAATGCTTATTAATTGGGGGAGAAGAAATGTGTCCCTTCAGAATCTTAATGTCTTCAAAGGATACTGAAGAAGTTAGATGAGAAACAGAGATCCTGGGGTTGGACTGATCCTGTTCTAAGTATATGAAGAAATAAAAGGAGGGAAAAAGGAGGAATATGTAAGTGTAGAAAGGAGGAAGAAGGAGATAGAATTTACTATTTTTCATAATTAGGGTGTGTGAGAAGGGCTGGAATGAGTGGGCATCAAATGAACCTCACTCACGTGAAATAAACAAGAGTTTTGCGTGCAAGCTCCCTTCCCTGCCCCCAACAGTTTACTGTAAAAATACATTAAATTCAACTGGGAAACAATCAGGGAGGGGGAAGGCAGAGCCAAGAAGAAAATTAATGCCAGTGAAGAATTAGTCTCAGGCAAAAAAAACAAGAACAAAAAATACAACAAACAAACAAAAAAACTACAACCTTTCTGATACTAAAGGGGAGTGGGGGTAAGAAGGAGGGGGCTTAAAGGGAGAAAAGAACTAGAACCTAAAGGAGAGCCTCTTAGACAAGTGGAGAATAGCTGAACAAACTGTGGCTTAAGAATGTAACAGAATATTACTGTGTCATTAGAAATGATGAAAGAGATGATTTCAGAGACTCTTTAACCCTGAAGCCCCCTCCTCTGATTGGTGAGTTCTTCCCTGGAAATTCCAGTTGATGAAGTCCTCAGCCAAGAAATTCTCACTTATCTCCTGGATCTACCCTGACTCTCCAAACTTTTCTACTTTGCCTCTACACACCCCTTTGTAGGTCCCTTTTACATGTTATTTTCCTTCACTGGAATACCAGCTTCTTAAGAAGAGGGACTGTCTTTCTTTTTGTTTGTATTTGTATTCCTAGCACATAGTAAGCACTTAATAAATAAATGCTTTTATCTATCCTGATGCAGAGTAAAGTGAACAGAAGTAGGAGAAAAACTTATACAAGGATAATAACATTGTAAAGAAAAACAACTTTGAAAGACTTAAGGACACCTATCAATGCTGTAACTAAATCATCATCATCATCATCAACTAGAATTTACAATAGTATTTTAAGGTTTGCAAAGTTCTTTATAATACTACCTCAATTAAATAATCATGTCTACCAAGAACTTACAATGACACATTACCCTCCTCTTAAACGAGCAGTGATGGACACAAGGCATAGAGACACATTTGTTTTGCTTGATGCTACTTGTTTCTCTTGGCAAACTGAGGGGGTAAGGGGGAAGAGGTTAAGAAAGAAGAGGAATAGTGATAACAACAACAAAAAAGAATAGAAGGACATCATAACATTTTTTTTAAATGCACAGAAGATAACAGAAGGAAGTTTAGAAGGGAGCACAGATAAGCAGGAAAGTTTTGAGAGTAATGTGTAGAATTTATTATCTATTTTTTCAAATCTAGCAAGGTTATTAAATGGAGACTCACAGTTTCATATAGAACCTTCTTTGTGTTCTGCTATATGACTAGGAACATTCTTTTTTAGTGTTTAAGTTCAGAGTAAAAACATTAAATTTAACGACAAAAGATAACTATAATCATTTTAAGGGCAAGAGAGGGAGATGGAAAAAGCAATCATCGTTTGCACATTTTAAGATTGCTAACTCTGGTTTAAAACAAGGATCTTAAAGACCCCACCAGAGCACTGTATCAAAAGCTATTTTCTTTGTGGCTCCCTATACCTTCCAAATGCCTGTAAGTGGAAATTTACTAAGAGCATCAGGACAATCCAAAAGCTCTGACACAAAAACCTGCAATGGTTACTAAATACTCAAACTAAATATAAATCAAAATGTATTTTAAATAGAGGCTCTAGTAAGCCTATGGATAGACTGAACGAATTAAACTGTAGAATCCTAGGGAGCAAAAGAAAAAAAGGGCGAGGGGGATAAAACAGATGACCTCTAAGGTCCTTTGTAGCTGTAAAGCTATAATGCTATGATCCCTTCCAAGAACAAAGTTTTGGTTATAAATGTCACATGATTGGGGCAGCTAGGCGGCACAATGCATAGAGCACCGGCCTTGGATGCAGGAGGACCTGAGTTCAAATCCGGACTCAGACACATAACACTGACTAGCTGTGTGACCCTGGGCAAGTAACTCAACCCCATTGCCTAAAACAACAAAAACAAAAACAAATAAATAAATAAATGAATGAATGAATGAAATAAAAAAAAATAAATGTCACATGATTTCCATTACATGTGCGGTTACCTACTCTTTCATGGTTTTAAATACCTCAGGACAACCCCCTTACCCTCATTCTCAAATATGCAGAACTATGAATAGCTAGGAATTGGTTCTGATATATAATTAACTAAACACAAGTTAGAAGATGAGAACTTACCAGAATTACAGGATACCTGTTGTGGGGGTGGATGTGTCTGATGTGCTAACGACTGATGCTGATGATTCGGATGATGCTGTATGTGTTGATGTGGAGACTGATGCTGGGGGTGTGGAGACTGCAGCTGGCTGTGTTGTTGTGGATGTGGTGCTGGATGCTGAGGACGTTGTGGATGCTGTGATAAACCATGCGGTCGATGGGGAGGATGTGGAGATGGTTGTGTGTGCATCTGGGGGTGAGACAAAGAAACCTGTGCCACAGAATTATTGGCAGTAGCGCCAAGACCACTGCCGTGGCTGTTCGATAAGCTGCTTTGGCCACTGTGTTGGTGAGAGCTCACGGTATTGCTGGGAGAGTGCTGATAGGAACATGAAGTGTGGGGTGGCTGGGATGATTCAGAAGGGATGCTCATCAAACCTAAAAATAGTAAAGAGAAAAAATACTTTTCGGTCATGTTTTTTGTAAAGAATATTTCTTTAAAATTTACCCAACAGAAACACACACACACACACACACACAACCCAATGGATATGGGCTTGACCACCTATTTTCAGGAAGACCTTCTGGAGGCATAGAAGAACTTAGTTTTAACATGCATGGGGGAGAAGAGCAGTAGATGCATTCCTCCCCATAACCCACAGGGAGGAATCAAGATTTCTAAATCACTGGAATGATTACTTCATGTGTCATGCAGCTTCATTTTACTGCACAAGGTTTAGGGCCATACACTACAAACCTTACTATATGACAAACCTCATTTCACATACTTTAAATAAAATTTTAGGTCTAAGAAGAACTGAGGTTAACCTGGATTGGATCATCTTGACCATAAGTTCTCTGAGGACATATGACTATCTATTTGTGTGTTTGGGTTTGGGTTAGGGAAAGGAGGAAGCAGAGTTCATTGTGCTTCCTAGGTCAGCCCTTGGGTTAAAACTTATTCTTGGAGAGACACTTTTCTTCCTTTTTTTTTTAATCACACAGTAAAAACAATTTTTAACATTTGTTTTTATAAAAATTTTTTGAGTTACAAATTTTCTCCTCCTTCTTCTCCTCCCCCCTCCTTGAGAGGAGAGGAGAGACACTTTTCAAATGAGGAATTATATCTATGGAATATTATGACATATCCTAGGGCATTAGGTATCCTGGAAGGCAGCCTGTTATTATGCTACATGAATCTTTTTTTTTGTGGGGGGGGGGGTTAGGAGGGAGGGCAATCAGGGTTAAGTAACCGGCCCAGGGTCACACAGCTATTTAAGTGTCTGAGGCCATATCTGAACTCAGGTCCTTCTGACTCCAGGACTGGTGCTCTATCCACTGTGCCACCTAGCTGTTCCACATTACTCTTTAACACAATGAGGACCAAGCACTTGTTAATCTGTATTTATTTACTCAAAATATGCATTCTAACCTCCCAACTTATTTTCTTCTCTCTTTGAAAAAAAAAGTTCTGTTTTTTTTCCCACTTTCCCATCTATAGTCAGTTCCCTGAAATAAATGCCTTTTTAACTAAGCCACTTTTCCATCACTTTCTTCGTAAGTTTCAATTTACTGAGAAACAGGCTATATACCACACAAAGGTATATTAGGATAGGCTTCATTCATAAGCCAAGTAAGAGTATTTCTTCAGTGAATATTAGTTAACGATTAAAAACAACTAGTAGTCACATTATTCTTCAATTACCAACCTAGCTTCCCATTATTTACTGCGCTACATCCTCTTTTTGAGCAAAATGCTTCAAGGTTTTCATCTCGTTTTTCCATTTTTTTCCTTACCTCTTTTGTGACAACACATATAGTGTGCTTATGTGCTCCCTCTCAAATGTTCATGTCACTATTTAAGGTAGAAGCCATCTTCTGCTTACCAACTTAACTATATACTCTGGCAAAATCTATGTCATTCCATGAAGACTTTCTTAAATCAGAATGCATAAGGACCATCAAACCAAGTAAAAGTAGGTCAAGCCAAGCCACATCAACTCTTTTGTCTCACTATGCAACTGACATGTACACAATTGTCTAAAGTATCTGGTGTCAGACCAAACTTATTTGGTTTACATAAAGAAGCACCATTTTAACAAACATCATCACCACAACATCTGGTTCTATATAATAAGGCTGTTTTCACATCCCAGCAGATGGACTATGACAACACTATTTTACTGATCCAGACACAATGTATTCAATTAAACGGAAAAATATTGTGCAATGGTCAAAGTTTCTTCTGTAGTCAAGATTTCTGATGAAGATATTGTTGTCATGATTTATAATATCTGCCAATATCTGAGTGCAATATAAAATATTAAAACTGGTAGATTTGGCAAAAGACTGTGTTGGTACTCGATAAAGGTTAGAGCTGATTCTTGAAATTGGAAAGCTGACATTAAAAGTGAATTATCAAAGTGATTCATAAAGGGGGAGAAAGACACAGGTGATCGCAATTCAAGAGCTAGATGGTCTCATTTTACAGATGAAGAAACAGAGGCCAGAGAGGTTCAGTGACATCATTTGTTAGTGATAAAATCAGAGTGTCAGAACTACAAGAGACCTCAGAGACCTAGTCTAACTTCCTTATTGCGCAAGTAAGGAAGCTCAAGGGCAGGGAGGAGAAAGGACTGATCCTAAGTCACACAGCTCTGTAAGAGGCAGTGTCTGACTTAGAACACCAGTCATATGATTTCTGATCCAGTGCTCTTTCTGTTACACAACACTGAAATCATTGTACATCCTTTAGGTACTGTCACCGCTGTTATTTTAAGAGCAATCTACTTAAATCATGGTCACCTAAGGAATCTGCATGTTTTAAACCATCTGCTACTCAAAGGAACATTAAATATAATACAGCAGCTCAAAAAGGCATCTTTTCATATACACATATAAGCTAATTTAAACTTATGCCTTGAACTTTAAACCTTGAAATCTGCCACTGAAGCAATGCAACTTTATTTACCAAAATATTATCAACTCTCAATCTCTGCCACTGACATGAGTGTAAAAAATCATAAATAATACAAGTAGCTAAGCTGAAGTATAAACAGATACTCCGCAAAGCAATTTCAACAGGGTTCAGAATAGTATTAATTTTCCCATTTGATTTTATAACATTCTGCAAAAGCCATACTGGATCTGTACATGTACATGACTCACAATGCTAGGCACAATTCAACTAACATGACAGTGATTATCCTGCATGTGCACAATCTTCAAGGAAAAGGTGCTGATGATGAAGCAGGGATTGGAACTCCGTATGATGCTTCTTTTTAAGCTAAGCCATGTTATGACCAGAAGCTGGCTTACTTTTACTGCACATTGGGCAACGACACTATACTTACTGGTGTCAATGGTGATGCAGGCAGAGCCCTGAGCTGGACACTACCAGATTATTATGGCTATACCTTTGCTAAGCCCTAACATACAACTAACACACACTCACTCTCTCTCTGTCTCTCACACACACACACACACACACAAGATGTACTTCTAATGTCCCAATACCTCCTGTTCCTTAACCACAGACAAACAACAACTTGATGAGTGGGAAAAGATACCAAATACCCTGTGAAAATATTTCTTAAAATGCAAAGAACTCACCTTGTTGGCTAAGTGACTGCTCAAAAACTGACTTATAAAGGCTTCGAAATGAGGCACTAAGATCTTCAAAATTATATTCTGAGAAAAGCAGTTGTTTGTCTCGTTCTGGGATGCTGTACTGTGGCTGCTGCTGAGGAGTTAGTGACTGAGAGACTGGTTCTGGATGGTTTGTCACCTAATGTTAAAAGAAAATACTGATTCTAAGCTCTATATTTGAGTTTATCCATAAAAACAAAAAACAAAAAAAAAACTACAAACAGTGGTTTACATGCTAAGAGAATGTAATCCAAAGTGGGGATAAGAACCAGCCTCCTTAAGTTGGCTGTCATATGATGCCCTTATCACTGGGACCATCCTATTCATTTCTGGTTTGGGCACCAAAGATGAGGCACAAGCTGGATGTCACTACGCCACTAACCCCGGAAGCAGGACATGCTCACTAACAAGTGCCTCCCACTCCCAGATGCCCAAAGGGATTAGAACTGTGATTTACTGCTTTTTAAACATGGCTGAGTCCTGTCCTATTAATTACAGAACCCAACTATATCAAAGTCCTTTCATCTACTCAATAATGGCATTGTCTCTTATTTTTTCCACTGCTATTACCCTACCTTTGCTAAAATTAAGAAATATTTTTTATGAGATAGGATTTGCAGTGTCAGATTTCTACCTATTACTTATGGCTTCATTCAAATCAAACTGCTGAAGGACTTACAGGATTCACAGCACTGCACTACAGGGAGGGTGAAAACTATAAAATACTGCTTCTTGCTAAGCAAAAATGGAAACTGTTGCACTACTGGACAACTTGGAAAATTTTTGACAACCAATGCCTTAAAACGTAATGAACCTTTATTTGCCTCCCTTTCAACTTTTGGGAGATGGGAGGAAATACTACTAAGGAGAAAACAAGAAAAAGGAGGGAGTAAAAACAAGGTAACTAGGTACAAACTCAAAGAGAAACCAAAGAAAATAAAAGGAAAAATGGAAGGGATCAGTGCCTTGAACTCTTAAAATTTAAAATAATGATTATCACAAAACAACCAAGAATACTAGCTAGTTTTCATAAAAGAATTACCTGTTTTTAAGAGTCTGAATTAAGAAATGCAAACTGCCAGATGTTTAGATGCAGTTTGTTATTATAGAGTATCAAAAATCAATAGAAAAATATTTAGGTTAAAAATTACAATTCTGAATTATTAGAAGGTCCATTACTTTGAAAGTTGCTGAAACTGAAACTAAGAACAAGAGGGCTCAGCCAGTACTTGAGAATGATCTACACTGAGGGCAACATGCTCTGAGTCACTTGAGCACAACCATTTTTAAAATCAAGTTACAAATAACCTTCTAAGTATGCATTTGGGAATCACCATCTAGGTCGGAAGTAGTTTCCCAAAGCCTATTTATAACCTGCTAATTATATTTCTGTATGTTTAAAGCTGCCCCTCTTCACATTTAGTCCGCGTGTTCCACTGAGTTTAGTTCTAAGCTCTAATTGTGAATTAAAATATAAAGAGCATTTCAGTAAGCTTACTGGTGTATAGCTGTGCACACTTCCAACGCTGTTCAAATTAACAGATGCCAAACTCTGGTCCGAGAGACTGTTGTTAAGGCTACTGCGGGGACTGTCACTGCCATCCTGATCAGGATTATATAATGTTACCTAGAATGCAAAAAACAAATATTTGGACAAAGATCAGCTAAAACTGCATGTACTACTTTATATGGCAACTCTATCAAGGTACTCTAAGACAGAGTATCTACATGCACAACTACCAAAATCAATGCAATTATTTAATAAGGTTAGCTTTCAAAACTATGTCTGGGTTACAAAGAATTTTTTTTTTTTAACAAATGTATATTTACAGCTCACTCTGCTAAAGAATAGGTTTTGGCTCTGATGTAAACAACAGGCACTAGAGGAGCAACTGAAGTTAAACTAGACAATGCAAGCTAAGAAAGAGTCTTATCAACTCCCTCTCTTGCAGCACTGCATATACTACTATCAAAGTGGACAGAACACCATTCCTGGAGTCGGGAAGGCCTGAGTTCAAATTTGACCTCACCATACTTGTACTAGCTGTGTGACCTTGGGCAAGTAACTTAACCCTGTTTGCCTCAGTTTCCTCATCTGCAAAACAAGCTGGAAAAGGAAATGGCAAATCACTCCAGTACCTTTACCAAGAAAACCACTAATGGGGTCACAAAGAGTTGGTCACAACTGAAAAACAACCCAATAACTTTCCAAGATTGCCGAACAAAGCAAGGCAAACCCTATATCACCAAGAAAAAACTTCAAATAAGCTTTCCTATTAGGCCCTTTCCCCATTTCTGAGTCTTCCACCTATAATTTTACACTTGCCAATCAACTTCTCATAGACATTAAAAAGTTTTCCAGCGTTTCCCAAATAAAATGACAAAAATGTCCTGACTAAGTTACAAGATTTATTACACGAGCTGGTCAAAATTCACTGCGCACCTACTGGTATTCCTGCTGGCATTTCAGAGGAACAAGATACCTAACTCTGGGAACACAAGTGCAATCTGCTGGGAAAACATAATCTTCATTCCCCATTAATACACTGGCATTCTGGTTTACACACCAAGTCTCTTTAAGCAGGTTAGGATAGCTGGTCTGCCAGGCAAAAACCACACCTGACCCCAGAGTTTCTGGAACAGGAGAGCTGCCCATCTCTGTTGTGGAAGGTTCTGCAAGATGAGGTGAACTAAAAAATATCTCAACAGACTGGAACTTATCGATAAGCTAAAACTAACAAGATAAAACTTATTAGGGATAAATGAAAAGTTCTCTATTTGGTTCAAGATATCACCTACATGAGCCCACTATGTGACAGACCTATTTTAACATCAGTTCTAATGAAAAAAGCTTAGAAGTTTTAATTAACTACTCAAGAGATTCAGCAGTATGAAGATGATGCCCAAAAAGTTAGTTAATGTAACCCAAAGATATGTGAAGATGATACACAAGTATCCTTGGTATGAGGATAGTAAGATGGAGATACATAGTGTATTGAATAGAACTGCTGGTCATTTGATAACTTCTGTTAGCACTGGTCAGATCACATTGAAAAACTGAGTCATGGGGCAGGTAGGTGGGACAGTGGATAGAGCACCAGCCCTGGAGTCAGGAGGATCTGAGTTCCAATTTAAACTCATACATTTATTAACTGTGTAACCCTAGGTAAGTCATTTAATTCCAACTTCCTAAAAACAACAACAAAAACCAGAAACAGAATCAGTGACAAACTAGAAAATAGCAATAGGACTTAGAACAATGCCAGTGAGGACTGGCTGGTGGTAAAAAGACATATTTAGGTATAGAAAAGAGACTACTTACAGGAGAGATCTGATCACTATAGTCAAACATCTGAAAGAATGTCTTCTGCAAATTAACTAAATTTATTCTGAGTGGCTAAAGATAGAATTAAGACAAAGGAGTAGACATTATGGCAAAACAAATGTCAGCTTACAAATTCTAACAAACAGAGCTATCTTGAAATGGAATGCACCATCCTATAAAAGAACAAGTTCCCTATTACTGGTATTATTCAAATAGAGGATGGCAAGGTGAGAAGTTAAACTACATGACCTGTAAATCTCCTTTCAACTCCAATGATTCCATGATTTACTCCAAAATTATATGAAATGGGTTAAAAAAAAAACAGAAAAGTAGATCAATGAACTGAAGCAATAAGCAATAATAAGAAATCAAATTCCATAATCCAGTGTTCAGTAAATTCAACAACATATACTACTTGGGAAAGGACCCTCTATTTGAAAAGAACTAGAAAGGAGTTTAGAGGAAAACAGTTTTTAACCACATTTTACACCATATATGACAAAAATTTCCAAATGGATCATACACGACCTAAACATAAAAAAAACCCTTTTTTTAAAAATGAGGAGTATATAAAGAAATACATTTTACAACCATGGTTAAGAGGAAAAAATCTTAACCAAATAAGGCATAGAGACCACAAAAGAGAAAATAAACAATCTTGACTACTTAAAATTTTTGCATTACCAAAACCAATACATCTAGGATAAAGTAAATGAGCAACTGGGGGAAAATTATCACTATTTATCTTCTAGCAAAACCACATTCTTATCCAAGATATATAGGTAATTAACAAAAATATTTAAGACGTAACAGTATTCTCCAAAATTGTTCTCAAAAAGAGAATCACCAACTATTAGCAATCATATATGAAAGACTGTTCTAATCACCAATAATAAAACAAATGAGAATTTTAAAAACTCAGGCTTTATTTCACACCTAGAAAACTGATAAAGATGATAAAAAAAAACCCAGAAAGAATCATTATTGGTAAGGTTAAGGGGATAAAGCACACTAATACACTAGTGATGGAACTAAGAATTATTCCAACTATTCTGGAAAACAATTTGGAATTACGTGAGGAAATACTGTTGATACCCTTTGACCCAGAGATCACACCACTGGGTATATGTTCCCCATCAAGGTTAAAGAAAGAAATGTTCTATAAAAATCAATATATTTATTGCATCATTTTTTGGTAGCAAAAAATTGGAAACAAAGTAGGTGCTCCTGATGGGAGAAAAGCTCAACAAATTGAGACATCCAAATAAAACAGAATAGATTCTACTCTCCAACAAATGACAAATATGAGGAATTTATATAAATATGGTCAGAAAGAGAAAAACACGAAGGAAGCATAGCAGAGATCTAGAGTCAGACAACCTAGATTCAAATCCTGCCTCTGATGCTTATCATCTGTAACTAGGTAATAAGGAGAACACAAAGAGATACATTTTACAACCATGGTTAGAATATTAATTATCTGATATCAGGTAAATCATTTAACCTCCTTGGGTCTCAGTTTCCTCATCTATAAAATGAAGGGGTTGAACTTGTTGCCTTCTAAGATCCTTTTCCAGTTCTCAATCTCTAAGATTATTAATACACATATTAATTATTATTATATATAACATATATAATGCCACATTATTATATAAACACACACACACACACACACACACACACACACACACACATATATGTAATTATTATAAACAAGAACACTATGATGAATGAGCTTGGCCCCAGAAGAGGTGAGGAAATGTATCCTCCTGTCATTATGGAAAGGTAAGGGTTCACAGGTAAAGACTTAGTTAAACTATCAGATGCAGTCATTAACCTGTTTTGTTTTTTGTTACTGGGGAGTTGAAGTGAGAGAAAGAACATCTGGAAATGACTTTAATGTTTTTTAAAAGGCATCAATAAAACTTTTACAAAGGACTATAAAATTCAGTCATATTATTCACTGTCAAAAACCAAAAAAGTAACAGTGACTCCAGGACTGGAGGGCACAGAAGGTTAGAGGTAGGAAAACCCCACTGCTCTTCTTACTAAATAAGATCCCTTCCCCATACTTAGTATAGACTTTGGAGAGAAAATGTGAAAACCAAAGAGTCACTAATAATATGAAAATTTTGATGTAGGAAAACACTAGTTTTTATGAAAATCATGAACAGTTCAAAACAAGTACTTTATGCTGGCAGATCTAAGTTCACAGGACTGCCAATGCACACTGCATCATGAAGGAGATGATGGCAAGAAGACTATGAAATGATTTCTTTAAAAAAAAGGATGGAGGCCATCTACCTGATTGCAATGATATCATATCCCAATCCTAACAAAATGCTCTACAAGAAATACTTTGCATGGGGCACCTAGGTCTTATATATACTTGCCTAAAGGTTGAAGTCCTATTACCTCAGATTCCACTGAAGCTGGGAGCCCTTTTAAATGCTAGAAAGCTTCTAGTGCTGGTGCCTAAAAAATACGCAAGGAAGAAAACTACAAGAAAGAATTAGGAAGTGAGTAAAGAAAACTTTTGAAAGGTAGCTGGTCTGGATTCTGTGCAGACCAGAAATAAGCCTGAAGTACAGAATGAAATATGTTTTCAGACACAACCAATGCTTGGATTTGTTCTCTGTGACTATACTTCTTTATTACAAGAGAGAACCTCAAACGGGGCAGAAAAATAGGTTAACTGGCAATGACAGAAATGCAAAAAAACCCAAAAAGTACATCAATAAAACATGGGAAAAAGAAGAAAACTAAAAGAAGCTCAAAATGGAACACAAACAGGAATTTGTTACTATACTGTTAAATTTAAAAAATATTTTTAAAAATAAACTAATAGACGGTTACTTTCAGATTTGTTTTTGTTCTTTTCTATGTAGAAATGTTTCTGTTTGTTGATGATTGTTAAGTTCCAATTTAAAAAATTTTAAATGACAGCTAAACACTTCTTGTAAGCATTGGGACAAATTTTATGATCCAGAGTTTTTCTGAATAACTAAAATGCTATGACACAGCATGCAATCAATACATTACAAATATGTTATCTCAATTTTGCTAGCCACTCAACTCTCTCACCAAATTTTTCTATTATCTGTTGGTATCCCCTACTTATTCATACTCTCTTTTCCAATATCTATGGTACACAGAACACTGTACTAGTCACAATGCCATGCATGACACAAAATAAACAGAAGGCTCATTCCTGCCTTCAAGGATGATATATCCTTGAGAGTGGGTTTGAGGGCGGACAGAACATATTCACAAGATAATCTGCAAAATATTACAGAGTACCATCACTGTTTCTCATTCCATTTGTGGAGATATACTGGTGCATCCCAAAGAGGAACAGCAAGACCAGTTTGATTGAATCATAGTATATGGTAAAGAGAAGAATGCATACTAAGACTGAAAGGGTAAGCTGGGTCTAGGCTGCGAAGGAATTTAAATTCCAAACAGAGTGGTTTGTATTTGACATTAGAGTTTATTGGAAGACATTGGAGTTTATTGACTAGGGTGGTAAAACTGTCAGAGCTATGCTTTACAAAAAATCATTTTAACGCCTATGTGGAAAGTAGACTGAGGAGGCAAAAAGACAAATTAGAATGTAACTGCAAAAGTCCATATGAGAAGTGATGAGAGCCCAAAACAAGAAGATGACCATGTGAACAGAAAGGAAGTGGATGAGATACTGCAGAAATATCATGACTTGGCAAATGACAGGATATATGGGGTGAGGCAGAGAGAGGATTTTGAGAATAGTCCCTAGCTGCAAATCCGGTTGAATGAAGATTATGGTACCCTTCAACTGAAACAGGGAAGTTTAGAATAGATGTTAATTTTAGGGGAAATATTTAATGAATTCTATTTTACATTTGAGTTTAAATTGCCTTTGGGCATCAAGTTTGAAATGCCCAACAGAAGAGACTAGAATTCAATATATAGAGCTAGAAGTCCTGCTTTATATAAAGGTGGTCTTTAATGAGATAGACAGAGAAAAGACAGACAAAAAGACAGCATTCTCAGTATAACAAAAGCTGGCTTACCAAAGGTTAAGGGAAAAGTCAGTGGAGGGGAAGTACTTCCACTTCATGTAATGGGTAGGCAACTTTTTAAAAATATTTTGACATACAAAAGGAAGTGAAAGATGGAATGGTAGTCAAATAATGTGGAACAGCATAAATCTTTTTATGGATTTGAGAAAGTTGAGAATATCTGCAGGAAATTTGTCAGGAGAAAAGAAAAGACCAAAGACGCATAAAAAAAGGATGACTGCTGAAAAAAGGTTCCAAAGGAGGTAAAGTAGAATAGTATCAAGAGCATCAGTAGCCTTAGGAAGGAGTAGAGATAACTTTTCCTCTGACAGAAGAAAAGAAGAGGAATGACAAAGCTGAGATATTTTGAGGAGACAAAACAGTGAATTAGAAGGCATCATTTAAGTCTGAGAGGTAGACATACAGTTAGGAGCTTAAGAAAAAAACCATTTTAGGATGTCACTAGGTAGACAGTAAGAGTAGAGTAGAATTACTGAATAACAAACAGCAAAGGCACAAATGTAAAAACAGCTCAAACCAAAAAAGGGCATAGAAAAAAATTAACTCTTTGGGAGATGTTATTAAAGGGGATTACTACTTAGATAGGTATTTAACTAGATGACCTTTGAGGTCCTTTCTAAATAAGATTTTCAGTTTGCAAGCCACTAAAAAAAATGGAATATAATTTTATTTTGTGGATTCTGAATCAAATTTGGCAGTTTTGTGCTTTGTCAACACACAAATCAGTTATGAGGCTTGATATTTTTACAATATTAAAATAAGTTCAGCTGTCAGTAAGGGTTTAGTTTATTGAGGTACAAACTAAAGTAGTAGTTATGTGACTGCTTTCAAGACCAGCAGAGAAATCAACAATTTGGTCTCTAATATCTTTGCTTACTATCACAGGGAAATTTAAAGAAAACAATAGCAAAACTTATGTCTAACTTACATTCTCACAAGGCCAAAAAGTGATCCAAAGACTTTCCAAAAGTCTCTTCAAAGATAGCTGTTTAAATCTCCCCAAAGAAAACTTTTTAATTTTATTACCCTGATGGTTTCACTAATATTTTGACTAGATATAATTCAAGTAGAGGAGTTAGGAAGTTTACAGATAAGGCCCTGATATTGTACAACATCATAGTAATTAAAATTATTTTGTTGCTGTGCTATCCTTATGATTTATATACTGCAATAGTGGTTTAGATATGAACAATACAGCCATTTCTTTTTTTTTTTTAATAGTCTTTAGTCAAGAATGTGACTCCCTACTATGACATTAGTTCAGGGCAAAATTTAGGTCTGATTGCCATTAATAGGAGGGAAAGCTAGATTTGGGGTGAGCAAAGATGGGCTCAAATACTGGCCCTACCACTTACCAGCTATGTGACTTTGGGCAAGTCACTGTATTTCTCTGGGCCCCGCTATTATTACATCTGTAAAATGTAGATATTCACTGTACTACCTAATTTATAGGGTTGTTGCGAGGAACAAATAAAACAATGTAAAATTCTCTATAAACAGTAAAGTGTTATGCAAACCTAAGCTGATATTATCTTCATCATTTCTACATATAGCACCTTACCACTGGTATGAAACTATAAATGTAAGTATATATGTATGTGAGCCTTGTTTGAATGAATTTACTACTAGAGGTTGATAGCTAATTCTCTGAGCCTTCAAACTAGTACACACTTCACATAAACTTGCACAACTTTACTGCTACTGAGAGCAGCAGCCAGTGTATACAGACACCACCACTTTTCTCTCACAAAAATCACAGATGTTCTAAACACACACATATACACACTGACTCAAATGTGAAATCTCTGATGTCTGGCAAAAACTGAACCGTACTAAAAAACTGGCTTCCCCATATTTGTTACATTCACAAGGGTTCTCTTCGATATGAATTCTCTGAGTTTCCTAAGTGATGGCCTACTGCCAATGCCTGTCCTATTCTCAATCTCATTATAAGAAACATTAAATCACCTCAAATGCCACCTTCTGCACGAAGTCTTCCTCCCCCAAGTTACTCTGTACCTGTTTTGCACGTGTTCAATATATGCCTAGCCATTTTCACATCCCCATTAGCGCTCCTTGAGTACAAGGACTGTTTCTCTTGGTCTTTGTATCTCCAGTGCCTAGCAGAGTTCCTGGAACATAGCAAATGCATAACAATTGCTTGCTAATTAACTGACTGAATGAATTAAGAACTTACCCATTTTCCCTCCTGCCACAGCAGTGCCCATATTCAATTTGTGACCATAGCAACTGAAATGCCAACAGAGAATACAAGCCAGTAAGCTGGCTAAAGAGAGCTCCTCTACTCTAGGCATGTGTAACTCAGATGCCAGGCAAAGCAAAAGGCAGCACCCATGAATCTGTTCTGGATTTTAAATTAGAGCTTTGAGTCCAGGCGAAGTGATCCTGTACACAGGACACATGGACACCTGAATTTTAGAGTTCATCTAAGAGTATTCTACTGAAACTTCTGGCCTTCCACCACAATGAAAGTAGAATAGGCCACTGGGTAGCCACTAGTGAACACCAAGCATCATCACCATGTGGCTATATAGAGATATACGTGTTATGTGGGTACACATATATGTGGGAAGAGATCAGAAGCCATTCTAAGATGCTGCCTTAAAGTAGTAATAATAGCTATTTACATATTATGTTAAAGTTCATTCACAAATCACTTTGTTCATAACAATCCTATGAGGTGAACAGATATTGTTATCCACATTTAGGAGGTTAGAAACTGAGGCTTGTGGACAAATGATATGCCAACAAGCTAGTAAGTTGTGGAGCTAGAACTCGACCAAGGTCCTCTAAATTCCAAATCCAGCACTCTTTTCACACCAGACCTTTAATATTTTTGTTACACAAAATATTACTTGAAATAAGTAGATCAATTTGTCTTAGTTTTTCTTTTTTGCCATAAAAAGATATGGGTAAAAACCTTATTATACAAATATCAGTATCATGGAAATCTGTATGCTATGCCTTCCAAGTAACTTAAAAGTAAAGGAAAGAGAAAAGAGGAAGAAGGGTTAAATGGGGACCAGCTCCATTTCTAAGAGTCGGCCAGGGATTTCTCCCTTCCCTCCCTTTATCCTTACTAAATACTCTTCTCCAAAGCATCCAAAGGGAAGTAAACCATAAGCCCCCCAAAAAACATTAGCTATGGGACTATCCCTCCCCCCACTCCCCCCCCCGAAAAGGAACCCTTGAGGGAAAAAAACCAATTAGCAGATGATAATACCAAAATTCTCAACAAATCACTGTATATTAACATGAATTATGAGAATTCTTTTCTGTGAAGTCCACTTCTATAATTCAAGAATTTTATTTCATCAGTGAGGGTACCCCCTCCATTAATACAAAGTACTTCATTCATCAATTTCTCTTATAACTTATTAGGAGTCTTCAAGAATTGCTGTAGCCAGAAAATTCATCAATTTATGGTCAACCTTAGTGACAAATTTCTCCATTATTGGCTGGGTTGGTCCTCAGTTCATAGACATTCAATTAATCACTGAGATCATACTTAATTATGAATTTCTACCTTGCAAAAACAACAAAGTTGGTACTCTGCTGGCAAAACTTTCAAGAACCCAAGGTCACTTTCTAACTCATCAGAGCAGTTCTTCTATGAACCAGTCCACAAACCAAACAATTCCCAATATCCCTACTGCAGTGTCAGGTTTAAGAGATACAAGTTTGTGCTATTTTCAAATTCAGTCATATAGAACATTTAAAAAGTATGATAAAGGGAAGTGAAATTAATTATACAATAATATCTTGACATTAAAAAAAAAAAGAAGTTACTTTGTTAGTCACAGTGTTGATTGCCAGAGTTGGAGAGGCACTTCCCGAAATAATACACTCCATTCCCAAAGAATCTGAATCTATGCTATATGGAGTTGAGGCCTAAAATGCAAGAACAAAACAAATTATTAGCAGCTTATAACCTGAAACAAAGTTAATACAATTTTAAAGGATTTCACTAAGTTCTCCTTCTATCACTGGTAAGTGGTACATTTACCACTACATTCTTTCTACCACTGATAAGAAAGAACTTAACTATTCACTGGAGCCTAATTTAGCCTTTATAACGTTGTATGTTGCTACAGTTCACTGAGGGCTATCTTAACATCTTGTGGCTTATGCTATCACCCACATCCTATCTACTAACCTGCAAATAGGTTGTGGTATATGCTGATATTAAAGGCAGATGCTTTTTATGCATTTTACATATCATTATCTTGAGTACTGCTCACATGTTCATGCATATGCATGTGTATGTGTATGTGTGCGCATATGTGAATGTGCATGTGTGTTTTCCCCTGGACTTCAACCAGTCACATTCTGGTTGCACTACAGAAAGTCATATCAGAAAAGTTGGGTTTTCTACCAGTTGGGGCAGCATTTGTTCTGTTGAATTTGATTCAATGTAGTAAACGTTAATTAAGCTATTTTATGTAAAGTGTTGTTTGGATCAAATGCACTTACCACTGAAAACCTACTACATACAAAGGTGCTGTGGGGGTGCAACTACTTTAAAATCAAAGGATTTCAGAACTATAAAGAACCCTAGGGGTAACACAGGTCAACTACTTCATTTTATAGATGAAGAAACTCAGGACCAGTGGGATTAAGTAACTTGCCTAAGGCCACAAAGAGGCCTTATAAGTGACAACGCTGAAAGTCAAACTTAGATCTTTTAATTTTAAATCTTGCCCTCTTTAAGAACCAGATCAAAAGGAAAGTGAGATAACTTATTTTAGTGTCTTCATACTGACAAACATAACTGGGCATTAGTATTATGCTAACAAATACAAAGGGGCATTAGTGTTATTTAAGAGGGCAATTATGTGGCGCAGTGGAAAGAGTGCTAGGCCTGGAGGACTCATCTTCTTGAGTTCAAATTCAGTCTTATTCTTATTAGCTGTGTGACTCTGGACAAGTCATTTAACCTGCTTGTCTCAGTTTCCTTGTCTGTAAAATGAGCTGTAGAAGGAAAAGACAAACCACTTCAGTACCTCTGACAAGAAAACCCCAAATGGGGTCATAAAGAGTTGAACATGACTGAAAAAATGGAATAACAACAGTATTATTAAGAGGTGATTTTATTTTATGAAGCTTTGTGGCAGCTCTTTAACAAAGGTAACAGAGTAGGTGAAATATAAATTAGGGTAGTACAAGTTATCCAGCTTCCAAATACAGGTGCCAGGTAGATTTTCCAGTCACCAAAGAAAGAAAAATAAAGAGGAAAAAGAAAAGCAGCATGTTGATATAGGTCTCTTGTTTCTAATTCTATGCTAAGGCTCAGATTAGATACATGGACAAGAATTTGGAAAGCTCTTCTAAAAGAAGGTCCAAAGATAAAGAAAGCTAAGCCTACTTGGTATAGTGGGTCATATTCACAAATTCTGCCTTTCCACTAAGATCCTCTTCCAGGGCCCCTCTGTGGCATAGAAGCAACCAGGATTCTTTAGGGTTACACTAGCAGCCTACCACCTCTGGCAGTTCCTATCAATGAATGAGAAAGAATGCCCTTAAAGGACTGGTGATACACCTACTGTCTGAGTACCAGCCTTGCTATGTTTGGAGAGGGTGATCACCACAATATTAGTCAACAGTGGAAGTCAGAGCAATTCATAAAATGCCATCTGCTAAGACAAGGAGGGCCTATAATTTGCATTGGAACAGGGAATACATATATCAACAAAACCATTAATCTTTTAGAACTGAAGTTTTACAATTCCAAAACAGAAACACCTCTGTAACAGGATAAAATGATGAGGAAAATATAGGGTGCCATGTCACCTAGCATAACCAAGGTTTGACTAACCTTGGTATAAAAATAAACACTAGCAGTAGAACTTCCTGTAGTGCTTAATGGTTTACCAAGTGTTTTATATGTTATTTCTCCTTTGATTTTTACCATAACTCCATGAGGAAGATAGCACAAGTATGTCTAGTTTCATTAACAAAAGAGACTGCTCCAAAGAAGCTGAAGAATTTGCTATAAATCAGAGTTAAGTGTTGAAGCTGGAACTAAAACCCAAGTTGTAAGATTTTAACCCAATCATTTATTTACTATACCAAGTTATCTCCTACAGCCACAGATTAGGTGTGATTCTACGTACTTCTAATGACTGATCAAAAAAAGTTTTCTCATATTTTCTATCCAATAAAAATAATTTGGGCTAATGAAAGCTTTAAGTTTTAGCTGGATTTCCTGTATTACTGTGCATATGGTAGCTACTTAATGAGCATTTATTGAATTGTTGAATCTCAGAGTGATTAAATCCCTCTGTCACCATATAAGCAGACCAACTTACATCAGTATAAAGAATGAGAAGTATCCTCATTATAGAGGAACAAGGAAAGGAGAGAAGGTGAGAGTAGGGTGGGATATTTTCCATAGCCAGGATATTGGGTGCAGGGGAAGAGAAAAAAAATCAGAGGTAGGAGGGCTAGGTATAAAGACAAAATTCTGCTTTGCTTTATGATTTTGTGTAAGACTTTGATGAAAATAAGGTGTTATGACAATCTAAATATACCTTAATTTTCTCTAATTCAGCCTAATTTCTCAATTTAGGCTAGTCTACTCCATTTTATTAATATAATTCATAAACAACTGGGGGGGAGAGGGAAATAAAAGAGAAATATGAGAAATCAAAATTTTTAGCCTTGCATTCAAAGCTATCCATAATTTGATTCCAACCTATTTTTCCAGACTTCTAATACTATTCTCCTTCACATAGCCTATGTTCCATATCCACAGAATTCCTCACATATTATTCCAAACTGGTCTATATATCCCTGAATATATACTAATAATATTTTACGTAAACAGAGAACACTAAATGTTTACAAAGCATTTATACTGTTCCTTGCTCTTGGACTGTTCTTCCTTCCTGTCCCCTCTTGCTAATCTTTACCAACTGAAATCCTATTGGAAGGTGATTTAATGCTTCAAGGACCAGCTCAAATGACAGACATCTTTTCCACAAACTTTTCCAGACCTTTGTAGTTGGAAGGAACTTCTCCCTTCTCTACACTCTAGCACTGTGTACTTACGCATATATATTTTGTGTAGTAGTCATGTGTAAATTAGACTGTTAACTCCTTAAAAGTAGTGATCTTATTATTCATCTTTGTAACTACCTCAGCAGCTACTATACAGCCTTATACAGAGCAGGTGGTTCAATAAATGTGTGTTGAATCAAAGAATGAAGAGATCTCTGAATGTACTTCCCCCTATTTCTTAGATTGCTGGTATCATAATGACAGATTTCTTTACTTCCAAAGAATTCTAGATAGTGCCCTCCATCGAGGCTGAGGATTCAGTATATTTTTCCAAGTCATCACATAAGGAGATGACTTCTTATCAGGAATATCCCACTTTCTCTATAAACAACAATCACCTTTTGCCAATAATTAATATCCTTTTATGAAACATTATTAGAAAATTGTGGCTCTGATCATTACATTAGACATTTCCCCTTTCCTCAACAATGCCAACACATGTAAGTAAATCAGTTAATCCAATCCAACAATTTATTACACATTTGTTAAGTATGAGACATGGCAATATGGAGTATACATTCTTGGGGTTTTTGTTGTTATAAGAATCCAATGAAATGGCATAAAGTTCTTTGTTAATCTTAATGCACTATATAAATATGAACTCTCACTATTATTGGGGACTGCGAATATTAAAAAAAATAAAAAGAACAAAAATGAAGATAGAGTTATTGGCCTCAGGGTATTTCTATTCTACTGAGGGGTTAGGAGAAGAGATATAGTATGTCAATAGCCACATATATACATAAGTAGAGTACTAACAACTAGGAGATGAGAAAAGGGTTCCCTTATCAGAAGAGGCACATGAGCTGAGCATAAAAGGAAGCCTATGTAGCATTCTTTTCTTAAAAAGTACCTCATTAAGTGCCTAAAGTGTATCAGCTGATTGGGAATACAGAGGGCATACATTTCAGCAATGAGGAGGAATATGCAGGAAGGCAAGAGATGGATTGGGGATGTTGTGAATAGCAAGATGGCCAATGTGGCCGAACAATCAAGCTAAGGAGTTTCTAATTTATCTTACAGGTAATAAAGGGGCCAGTGAAGCCAATCATAATCACTCTATTGAATCACCTTGACCTGATACATAATTATGGTTTGCAGTTATACGTGCAGATACTGAGATAGTGAATCTTATTTTCTATCAAAGTTCACTGGCCTGCAGGAAAAAAAAAAGAAAACTCTACCATCTTCATTCACAAACTTAGGTAAAACACATTAATTTAGTGACATTTTGCCTCTCTAAGAACAAACGAAAGATATCTAGTTTATATTTAAAAATCAGAATAAGGAACATGACTTTATTAGATAAATACAATATTCTTTTAAAAATATTCCACATAATAATCAGTTAATGGAGAAAAGGATGGGGGAAGGGAGGGTAAAGAGATATTCAAGGTGGGTGGGAAAAAAGGGAGATTGGGAAGAAGGGAAAGAACTAAAGGGAGGGCAAAGAAACAGATATATGTAAGAAATTCCTTTCTCTAGCTTAGAGGTTCTCAAACTTTTTGGACTCAGGACACCCTGACATTCTCAAAAAATTATTGAGGACTTCCCCAAAGAGCTTCTATTTATATGAGTTATACCTATCAATACTTGCTGTATTAGAAATTAGACCATCTTAGTATTATGAAAGTAATTTTGCCCTCAAGGGCTTCCTGAAAGCATCTCAAGGAGTTCCAGGGGTCCCCAGACCATACTTTGAGAATTACTGACCTAGTCTATTATCATTTCCTGTCTTCAGTTTGAGATGCCTACCTAACATCAAGTCTGAGATGTCTGAAGCTCAGGACAGATTAGGGATAGATATATGTATCTATATTTATTATATCTAA